GGAGCCGGCACCTAGACGGCCCGGACCTGGCTGGGAGCTGGGCCCAGCCATACCTGCCGCGCGCGCGATGTGAGCTCGGGCCGACCGGCCCGGTGCACGCCGGAGCGACCCCTCACCTGAGTCTTTGTTGGGGGCTGACCGGAAGCGGGTCGAACGACCGGGGTGTGCGCGGTGTCGGCGGCCTCCGGGGCGCAGAGGCTGGTCTCGGCCCTTGCCTAGTAGGCGGTCCGGGGCTGCCTTCACTATGCGCTGGGACCAACGAGTTCACCTTTCAGGGCCCTCCGGCCCGTCCGCGCCCACCAGCACCGTGATATGGGGGCCCAAGCGGGCACCGAGAGATGTTGATCATTGATCGCAGTCCTGGTTTCGATGGGTAGACCCCTTTTGAAACGGGACATACTGAAGCTCGGGGAAGGGGATGTCTGCTCCCCTGAAATATCCAAACCCCCGCCCCCCCCATGCCCTGTTCACTGGGCCCTGTTTGTCCCTTGACCTGTCCAGGCTTCTACTCTTTCCCTCCTTTCTCCCCCACCCCATTTTCCATCACCCATTTCCTGCTCTGACCTTTCACCCTAACCTGCTCCCCCTCAGGCTGCCTCTCCCTGGCTAGCTCCCCACCCACCCTCCCCACCCATGCCTTCTTTCCAGTAGTTGCTATCATCCATGGAGATGCCTTTAAGGCATTTGTATTATCTCAGAAGATTTCATAGGGACATACACAGTACCTTAATGCGATGTATAAAGACCATGATGGATAAGATAGGATGAACAAAGACTCATCCACCAGTTCCTGGCCTGCTAGAACCAGAGAAATTCCATTGAAGAAGCTTGAGAGGGGTTAACAGGATGAATGAGAATCTTAACAGCACTTAATAGGTACTGACCTTGGGGGTTTGTCATGCCCAGAGGGTGGTTATAGGCTATAAATAGAAATCTGGAAAGGGAAAGCTAAGGTAATGAATGAGAGGTTAAGAGAGACTTCTGAAATACAGATCTGCTTGGGGTAGACTCCCACTCGTTGAAATTGACCTCTGAGGGCACCAAGCCCCTCCCTGGTGTTTCCAGGTGTGTTCAGGACCGGGGCCAGGGCTAGTGACTTAAAGGCTGTCAGGTGTTCCCACCTTTCCTCAGTCCATGGATGTCTACTACATACCCATTTCACGTATTGTTAACTGAGGCCCAGAGTAACAAAATCCACTCTCAGGTGTCCCACTCTTGGACCATTGTAAGTGCTCATTCCTGGGCTTTTTGGATGAGCAGTAGCACTTAAGCTAATCAGTATTGTGGTCTCATAGGTAGAGGGAGCTGGACTTCTAGCCACCTCAGCACATGGGCCCATCATGTGTCTCCTTTTGGCTCTGAGTACTGATTCCTGCCCTACTTGAGCCATCGTTCCTCTGTTCTCTGAGACCATCTGACTTCATCTGCTCTCTGGTTGGGCCTGTCTCTGGACCCACAGACTCTCTGCTGTTGCCAGAGGTGCTCTGTGACCATGGAGCCTGGGCTGCCTTTCTGGGGTCACGTGGCTTGTGGTGTGTATGCTTTTCTTGGGTTACTGGCCAGGTGGGTTGAAGAGCATTGCCTCACAGTGGTGTTGCCTGCCTTTGGTGGACAAGGAGATTCAAAGAGCAGCAGCTTTGAGGTTCCAAGGAGGAGGTGTCTAGGTAGTGAGCTATCTCTATAGCTTTTTTTGTTTGTTTTTCTGGAAGACAATATAATCCTGACACCAAGAAAGCCATGTGGCTTTCTAGACTCACCTTGCACCAGAGTAGCTATTCTAAGGGTCTGGCTTCTAGCTGGATTGGGTGTACTGGGAGACCCTCCTGGCCAGTGGGACAACACAGGCCCTACACACCTCAAGACCTGAGGTAGGAGTCTGCACTCATAAGACACTTCTCCCTTGTCAGAAGCAGAAAACCATGAGATACCTGGCCTCAAGAGTGTGGTTCATCTCAGAGATACTTGTCCCCAGGGAGGAGAGCAAACCCAAGTTCAGGAACTGTGCAGGAAGTCACCTCCCCCTTGCAGTAAGCTCAGAGGGAACTAGAAATGTTTGTGGTCTCATCCTTGGCAGAGGCATAAGGGGGTGGAATTCCCCAGACCCATGTGATACAGGAGGTGGCCCTGGGCCTCGGAGCAACTTCCACAGTAGGCCCCAACCCGACACCTGCCCTGTTTCCTTCCTCCCTGCTCTGGAGTGCTCAAAATCCAGCATCACCATCCCAGTAGCATCACCTGCCACCTTCTTAGAAATGCAGGTTCTTCTGGCTTAGGGTCTGAACAGTCTTACCCCATCAGTGTGCTGCTGGAGTTGGAGAAAAGGCAGTTCTGAAAAGAATAGCACCTGCCATGAACTCCGACCTTGGACTCCTGCCTTTCCAGCCCTTTGCTTCTGGGACAATGAAGTGGACCTAACCAACCCAACCTCTGGGGTGGGAAAGAATTGCCACAGTCATCTCTGGAGAGAGAGTGGGATGGTTGGTTGGTTGGTTGGTTGGTTGGTGGTTTTTTAAAGGTTTTATTTATTATGCATACAGAACTGGCATACAAGCCAGAGGTGCAGGGGTGGTGAGAGGATTCACCAGAAGCAGAGCAGGAAGCAGAACAGGCAGATTGCTCAGGATCAGGAGAGATCTGTTATGCCATGTGGGTCACCTCCCCTGTGGGGTGGGGTCGAACTTTTGGTGAACTGCAGGGAGCTTCAGGGTGCTGCGCTTTAACCCATTGTACCACCAGGGAGAGCCTTGGTTCTTTTTTAAATAATTTTTAATTTTGAGATAATTACAGATTTGTGTGTAGTTGTAAGAAAACAAGGAAAGCCTAATGGTATCTTCTACCCATTTCCCTCGTGGTAACATCTTGCGAATACAGCATCACTCCAGAATATTGCATTGAGGCATAGAGGCGCAGGCCCGTCCTGCTTTCTTCCATTCACACTCGCCTCCCTTTCCTGAGTTTAACCCCCCGGCTACCACTACTGTCTTCTCCATGTCTCTATTTTCACCATTTCAAGAATGTTACATAATGGTAATAATTCAGTGTGTAATTCTTGGGCACTCTTTCCATGCAGCATAATTCTTTGGAGAGGCCTACAGGTTGGTGCCTGTATCCTTGGTTCTTTGTATGCCTTCAGGCCGTGGACGGAGCACAGTTGATTCCTTCTTCGCCAGTGAAAGTCATCTGGGTTTCCATTCTTTGCCTATTAGGAGTAAAGCTGCTGTAAGCATTTATGTACAGATTTTTATATGAACAAAAGTTTACATTTCTCTGAGATAAATGTGCAGTCGCTGGGTTATATGATAGCTGCATGCTTAGTTTTACAAGGAACTGCCAGACTGTTTTCCAGAGTGGCTCTACCATTTCACAGTCCCACCAACAGTGTGAGAGAGCCTTTCTCCTCGCCAGCAGTCAGTGGCGTCTTTATTTTTCATTTGAGCCTTTCCGATAGGTGATGTCGCATTGTGGTTTTAATTTGCATATCCCTGATGGTCAGTGATGTGGAATGTTGTCACTGTGCTTACTTGTCATCTGTATATTCTCTTCAGTGAGGTGTTTTTTCATGTCATTTGCCCGTTTTCTAATTTGAAAATTTTCACTTAAAATTTTGAGAACTTTTTACATTTTGTAAATGTTAGTCCCTTGCTTGATTTGTAGTCTGTAGAATTTCTCCCAATCCATAGCTTGTCTTTTTTTTTTTTTTTTCATCTTCTTAATACTGTCTCTCAGAGCAAAATGTTCAATTTTTGCTTTCATGGATCATGTGTTTGGTGTCAAATCTAAGAGCTCTATCCTTTTCCTACTTTTGTACATTTAAATGTCTGACCCTATTCCTGTTAACTTCCATACGATGAGATTTGGGTCTTTTGTGCCTTTGGGTTTCCAGTTGCCCCTGCATTAGTTGAAGATGCTCATCGTTGCATAGATTTTGTCAGAAATCAGCTGTGTGTATTTGCATGTGTCTGTTTCAGGTCCTCTCATCTGTTCCCCTGCTGGTACCAGTGACCCTCTACCACACTACAGTGGGAATTACATATCCATTGCAAATCCACAGAACCCTGATTGTTGTTCCAGGCCCCTCTCAGCAGGCCTGGGGCGGAGTCTCTGGCTGTCACAGGCTCCCGTATGGCTCCCAGTGTCGCCATCCTGAATCAGTTAGTGGAGACTGGGGACCATAGCCTTCCCTTGCCCACTGGGTGGTCCTGGCTCCCAGGCCTGCTCATGGGAGCAGAAAGAGAGGAACCTAGAGGGAGGAGGTGAGGGTTGAGCCACATGTAAGTGGGACCCAGCCAACTGGGTCCTCTTCCTCTTACCAGATGGGGCACCGCCCTTCTAGCCCAGGCTCTGTTTCGATGCTGGGACTTTTCTCTGTCAGTGCTCCACAGTGGGATAGGCCAGTGAGGTCCGCGCGCACAGGCAGACCTGCCCGTGGAGGCCAGTGGTCTAAGTGGCAGCCCCACTGGACTCCCCTGCTCTGGGCCTGAGTGTGGAACTCCTCACCCCCCTTGGATTTGCTGAGGGCATGACGATGGTCTTTGTCAGCTATGGTGTCTGAAGTTTGTCAGGAATGATAACCGTAGAGTTGATTGGTACTGGGCCACCATCCCTTTCAGTACATAGGCACTGTGGGCGCCTGAGGTAGGGTTGAACCCCATAGATTAGCGTGCCCGTTGGAGCAAGCCTGAAGAAGGCAGGGCCCAGCCTCTCTGCCTGGGCCTCCTCACGAGGCCCCCTGGGAACTATACCTGGGCACCTCCTGGCTGGGCTGGACGGTGGCCTTGGAGACATCAGAGCCCGTCTGGTAGGGGTGTCAGGGCATTGGCAGCCTGGAGGAATGGCAGCCCCCCCCTTCATCCTTTTTCTAAAATACCAAATGGGAGGAGTCTGCAGCAGGAAGAGGCCACTGGCCACTGCTGCTGAGCCCCCTTTGGCCCCTTGCTGTGTCCTTAGGTGGCTGCCAACCTTCTGCCTGTATCACAGTGTGTTCCTGCCCCGTTAGGAACTCACTGTGGGGGTCAGATCTGCCTGCTGGCCCCTGTGCCCCCAACAGTCTCAGGCAGTCCCTTTGGCCCCACATCCAAAAGTGAGTACATGCTGCTGTGAGGAGGGGCCCGGTGGGAGGGGCCCACACCCTGCTCCAGCAGACATACTGCACATTCCTCCCCCAGGCCAGGGGGAGGTGGCTGACTAGCTGGCCCTAGCCTCTGGGTAAGCGGGTCAGTGCTGGCTCCCCTTCTGGACCTCCAAGCTCCTTTGTCTTGTCTCGTCCTCTCCTCCACCGTGGGCCTTTTCCAGGTGGTTCCTCAGTTTCCTCTGGCTTTAGGGTATCCAGACCTTTGGGAGGAGGGGTATAGAAGGTATTTGGGATCCAAAAACTTGCTCCCAGATCCATCCCAGGAAGCCTGGGCCTGAAAGGGCTACTGCTAGTTTCCAGGTTGGGCTTGCGTGGGCGAAAGGGCAGAGGTTTGCCTGGGTGGGCGGCGGGATGGTCCCAGGGATGGCTGTCCTGTCTTCATCAGCTGGAGCCAAGGAATCAGGGCCTCGTGCTCCTTCCACCCTGTCCACGGCTGTATCTCCACTGACATCCTTTCCTCTTGTCCTGACTGCCAGAACAGCTAAGCCCCACAGAAGCAGCAGTGAGACCACTTCCTGCTACCCACCAACCTGGGCTTTAGGCTACTTCAAAGCCAATGAACCCCATGAATCCCATGAAACCTGCCCTGCCCCCCGCACCACACAGGTGAGTTGGGGTTCCTGCTGCCTCGCCTTTAGGTCCCAGGGATGTGGGTGCCTGAGGTCTCCTGATTCCCACCTTCCATGGGAGCTCACCAGCCTCTCCCCTCCCAGTGATGGTCCATTCGCTTATGAGGCAGTGCCTTGGCAACAAAGTGCCACTCAGCCAGCAGGATCGCTGTCCGTGGTCACAACCGTGTGGGGAGTCGGCAACGCAGCCCAGAGCCAGGTGAGTCCGTGCCTGGCCCCACCCTCGAGGCGTCAGAGCTTCTTGAGCCCCCCATCTTTGGACATCGATTCTCCTTCCATGCTTGTCATGGGTTTGCCTCCTGTCTTCACCTGCCCTCCACAGACCCAGCTGTGACAGCTGCATCCCACAACACATGTCTTAACTCCCCTCCTCATTCTCTTCCCCCTCCCCCTCCCTTCTGTCACCCCCCTTTTCACCGAGCAGGCCTCTCTTCCCAGTACTTTAAAGCCACTGCTTGAAATTGTTTGGATGATTCCTTTTGGTGATTCTCGCTTCCTTGTAGGTTTTGGGGAACCCCATGGGCCCTGCAGGGAGCCCCCCCAGCACCTCCATAATGCCTGGCATGGCAGGTGGCAACTCCACCCTGAACTCTCCACAGTGCCTTGGACAGCAGGCATTTGGTGAAGGTGGCACTACCAAGGGCTACGTGCAGCAAGGGGTGTACGGCCGTGGGGGCTACCCTGGGGGCCCCAGCTTCACCACTGGGTAAGCAGGAGCGCCTTACCCGGCCATTGTGCCAGGAATCCTGCAGGGGTCATGCTTCCACCATGGCAGGCACCTGGCAACGGTGTGATACTGACTTGCAGATTGTATCACTGGCTGCCAGAATGACTAAAGGAGTGTATGGGAAAGAATGGGGCTCTGTAGGAGCTGTGTCATCTCCTCCCCCTTTAGCGTCGGCCTGGCCTTTGGGTGATCGGCAGAGGAGTTTCTGAGCCAAGCCATCTGTTTCTCTTGCAGGTATGCGGGGGGCCCAGGAGGCCTCGGCCTCCCCTCGCATGCCACACGACCTTCCACTGATTTTACTCAAGCAGCGGCAGCTGCTGCTGTGGCTGCTGCTGCTGCCACAGCCACTGCCACTGCCACGGCCACAGTGGCTGCCCTGCAGGAGAAGCAGAGCCAGGAGCTGAGCCAGTACGGAGCGGTGAGGCCCGCAGCTTCTCCATTCTGGCGGTCTGGAAGTCAGGGCCAGCGGGCAGCTTGGGTCTGAGGATGCAGAATGTCTGTAGGAGGTTCTTGGCCTGCTAAAGAGGAGACAGTGAAAAGGGGGAGGGTGGGGAAGGAGTGAGGACCTACGGGAAAAGGGTCTAGGGGCTGGGGTGCGGTTGACTTGAGAGGGACAGGTAGGCACAGCCGGCACCCGAGCAGCGGCTAGGACCTACGTGACTCCTCTCTTCTCTTCCCAGATGGGGGCTGGACAGTCTTTTAACAGCCAGTTCCTGCAGCATGGAGGACCCCGTGGACCTAGCAGCATGAACCCTACCAGCGTAGGAGGGCTGATGGGCTCCTCTGGCATGAACCCCATGGGCATGACCGCCACCCGGGCAGCAGGCATGGCACCCCTGTATGCAGGACAGCGCCTGCCCCAGCATGGGTACCCTGGGGCTCCCCAGGCCCAGCCATTACCCCGACAGGGGGTCAAGAGAGCCTATTCCAGTGAGGTGAGTGTCAGGGCCAGTGGGACCTCCCCTAACCCTGAGCACTATCTCCAGCCACTGTGAGGGGGACATCTGGTTGCAAGAGGAACTGACCATGCCCAGCAAAGGGGCACTGCTGCTGCCCCTAGAGCCACCTGTTCCTTCCCCTGGAAGTTTGCTGTTTTCCTCTTTCAGGTGTATCCAGGGCAGCAGTACCTGCCAGGAGGCCAGTATGCTCCTGGCCCCGGGCAGCCCCCGGCCCCTTCCTCCTACCCTGGTCACAGACTGCCCCTCCAGCAGGCCGTGGGCCAGTCCCTGTCCGCCTCCAACCCTGCAGGACTACACTACAAGGTAGGGCACCTTCTGGGCTCTGTGCCTGGGGCCGTGTACACAGACAGACCCCAAGGCAGTCTGGGATGCTAGGGAGCGGCCTGTGTGTGCTAAGGGTAGACAAGCAGCCAGGCGTTCATGGGCCTGACCAGTGCAGCAGCAGCCCCAGGAAGGGTAGGGTAGTTGGTTCTGAAAGGGGTCCTAGATTTCAGTGGGCATCAGTGCAGGGTGCAGGCACCCAGCCACTCAAATGTCCTTTATGAGAAAGTAGCCCCATTCCTTCTGCAAAAAAGCCCGGCTAGGGGACAGACCCATCAGGGTCACCTGGGGCGGAGGGGGTCGGGGGACAGTGCACCTTACCGGAAGCCTGGTGGCAGGGGGTACACCTGAGGTCTTTTAGCCTCTCTGTTGCTTCCCTGCAAGCCCTTCTGGGGTGTGATATCACCTCTGTAGTAGCACTTTTTTGAATTCTGGGATCAGTTCACGCGCCCTATAGATTATTTGGATAACCCAGAAAATGTAGAAAGAGGAAAATAAAGGCCACACCCATGTGTTTGGGGGGAGGGGCTCCCTGCCCAGCCCTCCCCTCTGGGTCAAGTCTGGAGCTTGGCTGGGCCGAGCAGAGCCCCCAGCACATGCAGTTTTGTCTCCCGCAGCCTGCAGAGCAGTTCAACGGGCAGGGCGCCAACTTCAACGGGGGGAGCATCGGCTACAGCCAGCCTGGCCTGAGTGGGGTACGGGCAGTGGGGAGGGAGGCTCGTCGGGTGGGTGTGTGGAGAGAGGGCACCCAGGTAGACCCTCCTGGGGCTGCCTCCACCCATCTCTGTCTGACCTTTCCCAGTGGGTGCTCCACAGACAAACTCCACCCCCCCACCATTCTGCCTTGACTGTGTGCTCGACCCTACAGCCCACCCGTTCCATCCCTGGCTACCCCAGCTCCCCACTGCCGGGGAGCCCCACGCCGCCCATGACCCCCAGCAGCAGCGTCCCCTACATGTCCACCAGCCAGGAAGTCAAGTCTCCCTTCCTGCCTGACCTCAAGCCCAGTGCGAGCTCCTTGCACCCGTCACCCCCCGGTGAGTGTCGTCTGCTCTCAAGATAGGCAGGTGGGGGTCAGATCCCAGAGAGTCGCACCTGAGGGGAGCCTGAGGGGCAAGGGCTTTCACCTTTACTTTCTACTCATGGGACCAGTTTGCACACTCACTCAAGACTGTGGACAAATGCCTCTGCACATACAATATAGTTTCAGGAGATGTATGAGCCCCCTGGACTCCACTCCTGGTCAAGCACCTCTCATTTCAGGGGAAGCGCGAGGTAGAGGCTGGTGTCCTGAGCCAACTGTGAGAGAGCTGGCGAGTGGTCCACTCAGCCTCCAGCCCCTCTGACCGGAAGTGCTTCTCTCTGGGTTGGGGGCTTAGTGTCTGGTCAGAACTTAGAGACAGAGCTGGGCAAGTGGGACAGGACTCAACAGTGGGACACAAAGTTGCGGTTACTGTTGGAGGGGACACTGAACCTAGGGTCCCTAAGAGATGCTCCCCAAACCTCAGCCCCATGACTTGGCTCATGGCTGCCCAGCAGTGTTTGAAGGGGCCAAGCACCCCTTGTGCCACAGTCCCTGCCACGGGGGAGGGGCAGGCAGCCTGGCCTGGGGCGTCCTCATGCAAGTGGCTCTGGCACGAGTAGCCAGCTCACCTCGTATGGCCTGCTCCCAGGCAGCGGCCCCTGCGACGAGCTACGACTGACCTTCCCTGTGCGTGATGGGGTGGTCCTGGAGCCCTTCCGTCTGCAGCACAACCTGGCTGTGAGCAACCATGCCTTCCAGCTCCGAGACTCCGTCTACAAGACCCTGATGCTGAGGTGCGCACTCCCATCCTGCCACCGGCCCCTGGCGCCACCCCCCCTTTCTCAGTGTACCTCCTCCCCACATAGGCCTGACCTGGAGCTGCAGTTCAAATGCTACCACCATGAGGACCGGCAGATGAACACCAACTGGCCGGCCTCGGTGCAGGTCAGCGTCAACGCCACCCCGCTCACCATCGAACGTGGCGACAACAAGACCTCCCACAAGCCCCTGTACCTGAAGCACGTGTGCCAGCCGGGCCGCAACACCATCCAGATCACCGTCACGGCCTGCTGCTGCGTGAGTGCCCTCTGTACGGTCAGGCATCGGGTCTCCACCTGCTCAGCTGGTGGTTTCCGTTCACTCCGGCCCTTTCAGGAGAGGGATGCAGTCAAACAGCTGCTTTCCAGTGTAATTCGGTCAGATGCTCACGTTAATTACATAAGAGACTAAACCAGCCCTGTGTCATTCCCGGAGGAAGCTCAGGAGTCCCCAGCTGACCCCGAATCCTTGTTAGGAGTCAGCAGAATTCCGGCAGGGCTTGGGCTGCAAGAGAAAATGTTTTGGATAAGCAGCTTGATCAGCCTGGGTGTGAGGGAGCTAAGATGGTGCAACCCCAGCCATGCTCTGTGGACTTGAGACATCTGAACTCAGTCAAAATGTACACAATGTTGTGTGCTGTAAGCAGGATGCAAGCAGAGGGATCTCAGATATTTGTGTTTTGATGGAGAAGCAAAGGACAGCAGTTGAATGACAGATACAATATGGGCACGAAGTTTTACACAGAAGCGCTAGCATGGGCGCGGCCAGCCTGTGCTTCCAGGGGCGTCCGCCAGGCACGCCGCCAGCGCGCCTTGCTGGGAGCGACAGGCCCTGCTGCCTAGCAGTGCATCTGGTGTGGCCTGTATTCCCCTGACTGAGCCCTCCCCTTGCAGTCCCACCTCTTCGTGCTGCAGCTGGTGCATCGGCCCTCTGTCCGCTCCGTGCTGCAGGGCCTCCTCAAGAAGCGGCTCCTGCCCGCCGAGCACTGCATCACCAAGAGTGAGTAGCCCTTGCGTTCCCTGGCCACTGGGCAGCCAGCCTGTGCCTCTGCTGGGGCCGCTGCTCCAGGTGGCCCATCTTGTGTCACACATAAGGCCGTCACCTCTGGGGCAAGAGCCTGGGCGAGGTCTTGGGGGGGAGGAGGAGCAGTGATCAGCCCAGATTGCCCCTTGGGCTGTGGAGCCACCAGTGACTGGGTCCCTGGTTGGTGGCCCTTTTCCCTGTTGACACCAGTAAAGCGGAACTTCAGCAGCGGCACCATCCCTGGCACCCCCGGACCCAACGGAGAGGATGGGGTAGAGCAGACAGCCATCAAGGTGTCCCTGAAGTGCCCCATCACCTTCCGCAGGATCCAGCTTCCCGCTCGTGGCCATGACTGCCGCCACATACAGGTGGGTGACCCTGCAGCGCTTTGCCTGAGCTTGTGTCTCTGCACTGTTTTGAGCAGATGTGGACCTTGGCTGAGAATTGGCAAAACAGACCTACCAGTGGGCAGGTGACTGGCTCCCTGCTCCTTCCCCGCAGACTGGACTTTTGTTTTTTCTCAATATAGTCCCATGTGACTGCTTTCACGGGCTCTGTGGTTTGAGGCGTGGAGGAGGCACAACGCCATCTTCTTCCAGCCGCGCCCCGGGGAGTGACACTGGCATGTTGGCAGAAACGCTGCCCCGGGCCAGCACGTGCTCACTCCTGCACCTTTTTTGGTTCCCCAAGTAGTTACTGCTCTACACTGTGCCCTGCTCCCCACCCTGCTTTTTTCTTTCAACACTGTCCTGGAGACATAGCTGCCCAATTCCTGCTTTGGCCAAGTAGCATTCCTGCCAGGCATTGTGTAGCCTGCCCCCAACCTCTGTCCGCTAGAGTGATCCTGCACTGACAATCCGATACAGACCCACTTGCATGTGATACACGCTCACATAGTAAGTAAGTAAGTCTGGTGTTCCTGAAACCGCATGACTGGATTGCAGGATGAAGTCAGACTGTGCACAATGCTCCCATTTTTTTGCCCAGCCTGAGGAAAGGTATCTCCCCCATCTCTCTGCAGTGTTTTGACCTGGAGTCGTACCTACAGCTCAACTGTGAGCGAGGGACCTGGAGGTGCCCAGTGTGCAAGTGAGTGTCTGTTTGCTCCTCATGGTGTGTGCTGGAGCAGGTGACACTGTCATGTCCTTGCAACACCACAAGAAATACCCAAGCCAGGTATTGGGGGAGGGGGGTCTCAGCACAAACTAAGACAGTGTGACTCAGGGTCAAAACCTCTCACAGGTCACCTTGTATATTCACCTCCTGTAGGATCACCAGGTGTAGGGTGACCGCATTCACCTGGCACAGAGTCACCTTACACAGCACCTCACACGGGGCACTTTGAGATGGGTTACCCGGCACTGGCAGCATCATGCTGGGTGATGGAACTGAGAATAAGAGCGTCTGTGCCCAGACTTGGGGAAGCCTCTGAGCCATGTCTCCTTTATTTTTTTCTACAGCAAGACAGCTCTGCTGGAGGGTCTGGAGGTGGACCAGTACATGCTGGGCATCCTAATTTATATTCAGAAGTAAGTTTCCTTTCCCTGCCACTCCAGTATCCATGGTCAACAGAGGGAAGCCCCAGGCTAGCTGAGGAAATGCTCCCAGCTCACCCACCACCGAGCTGCCTCAGTTCCAGCCTACAGTGGACTTCATGTGCCGGCTGGCATCCCATGGGGCACATGCAGTATTGGGCGGCCCAGACCTTTGGAGTGGGAGGGGGGTCTGCCTGTCAGCTGCACGAGGGCCAGGAGAGGCAGCAGGGCAGGTGGTGACCAGCCCCCTTGCGTCCCCACCCAGCTCGGACTACGAGGAGATCACCATCGACCCCACATGCAGCTGGAGGCCGGTACCCGTAAAGCCCGACTTGCACGTCAAGGAGGAGCCGGACGGGCCGGTGCTGAAGCGCTGCCGCACTGTGAGCCCCGCACACGTGCTCATGCCCAGCGTGATGGAGATGATAGCTGCCCTGGGCCCTGGGGTCACCCCCTTCGCCCCCCTGCAGCCCCCCTCTACCCCAGCCCCCGGCGACTACCCCAGTCAGGGTGAGTACAGCAGACCCAACCTAGAAGTGTCATGGCAAATGACCTGTCCTCTCCAAAACACTCTCCTAGCTGTGAAAGTGACCCTGTGCGAGCCCCACTCTTTAACGCATCCGCCAACATGCGCTGAGTGGCGCCTGCCCTGGACTCCCACCCAGCCTTGGGACCAAGTGGCAGACTGGGGACATGGCAGTGGAGGCCCAGGCTCAGCTGTGCCAGTGGCAATGGCAGCAGGGCCACGTCTCTGGCTGTGCTCACCCTCCCCAGCTTTTTGGAATAGGGCCTGTCTGTGTTACGCTCCCATGGATTGGGCCCGTCACCCACCCTGAATGTTGTGGGTATTTGGGCGTGGCCGGTCCCGTTCCTGTCCCCTCCAGACCTCCTAGCAATGTTGCGAGGCCAGTTCCCCTGGCAGCAACGAGAAGTACCCTTTTCCGAATACCGACATCTGTGAAAACTGATGCAGACCCTTGTGGGTCTGAGGCCAGAGCTCCTGTTACCTGTGGGTGAGCACTGCGAGTTGTGTCCATGCCACCGACAGCCTGCCTTCTTGGCTTCTCTGCCACCTTGAACCCTGCCAGCCTCACCCCAGACCTGGCTCTCCTCTCTCAGGTTCCAGCTTCTTAGGACCTGGAACCTTCCCTGACTCCTTCCTGCCCACCACACCCAGCACCCCGACCCTTCCTGAATTTACCTCTGGACCACCCCCCATCTCCTACCAGTCCGACATTCCTAGCAGCCTTCTGACACCAGAGAAGTCTGCCCCCTGTATTCCTGGTCAGGTCAGTGCCGAACCAACGGGAAGCCTCCCCTACCCCCTACCCCCACCCCAGGGACTCCCTGGGCTATTTTACGAAGTTCTTCTCTCCTTTACCAGATGGCACCTTCGGGTCACCTGGACCCAGCCCACAATGCTGGGCTGCCAGGGCTGCACGCTCCTAACCTTGGAGGCCCCCCAGGGCCCCAGCTGCACCATCCAAATCCTCCCCAAGCATCGCGGCAGCCCTTGGGACAAGTGAGCTCCAGTCCTGTCAGCGAGCTAACCTTCAACCCTGCCGCAGGCGTGATGGGGCCCCCCATGTCTGGTGGAGGGGAGGCCCCAGAACCAGCCCTTGATGTGAGTGTCAGACCCAAAGGTGTGGTGTGCATGGGACCTGGGGGTGGGGGACGCTTTTCCTTTGTCCCCAGGATCCACAAGCATCATAGAATGGAGAACACTTGATGGCTCAGTAACTTCTATCAAGGGGAGAACTGCTTTTTCTTAGTGGGTGTCGGATGTGACGGGCGTGGGGTGGTTGTGTCTGTGCTGTGGGCTCTATGGACCTGCTCACCACAGTGGGCACGGACATAGCCCTTGAGAAGACTGGGCTTGAAGTTGATGACATCGGCCTTAGGGCCTGATTTGTCCTGACTCACAGGTGGCTTGTGAGCCGAAATCAGTGAGTAAGAGACAGGTGACTGTCCCTCCTCCCTAGTAAGCAAAACTCACTGACATGCAGTGTGAGAAAAATTAGAGCAATTCAAAGAAGAAAACTCTAGGGACTGAGGAGCCTGCCTCCTACATTTGCCCTGTCCCCTGCGGGGTCCCCTCCCAACCCTGTGTGCTCTCTGCACCTCGAGCAGCAGACCTACCGACGTCGGGCTGCACACATCCCGTGTTGTCTCAGGGCAGCTTGTCACAGGTGACTCCTGGTCACAAGGGAGCCTTCTGCAGGGAGCCTTCGTGCAGACCGAGTTCACCTGTTCAGGCCTGTGTGGGCCGGGGGTGTGCTGGAGGTTGCTTCACAACCCTGCTGGGTTTGGGGGCTCAGCTCTGAGGCCAGAGCTCCTGATAAGTTTACTTTGTCCTCAGCTGCTTCCAGAGCTGACCAACCCTGATGAGTTGCTGTCCTACCTGGGCCCGCCCGACCTCCCTACCAACAACAATGATGACCTGCTCTCCCTCTTTGAGAACAACTGATCCTGTTGACCCTCCCGGCAGGCATAAGCCACAGATGTCACCACGCCCTGCCCCTCCACACCCAACCCCTCTGACACTGGCTGCCCTCCCTGAACCCTCCATTCGTGCACGCCTGGAGCCAGGCCCCGGGCCTCCACCTCCTGGTCCCTGAAAGCAACCCTTGGTTGGGAGGGACCTCGCAGCAGCCCTCACCCCCACCAAGTTCGCTGCTGCAGAACAGATGATGAGATGCCCAGCCCCGCCCCCCCATCCACACCGATCTGTGCCCAGCATCACCCCATCCTGGCTCACTTCATCCATGTCCTGCCCTCTGTGGTGCCTCTCCACGAACATTTGCAGCCTCTGCCACCCTCTACCCCTGCCTATACCCACTGGCCTGCTTCATGTCAGCGTTAACCCTTGTGTTTAGATTCCTCTGGGACCTGTGGAGCCAGCAAGGAATGGGCTGGCTCTGTCCTGACCTGGAAATCGCCCAGCCCTGCGGCAGTTGGTGGAAGTCACTTCCCACCCTAGCTCCAGGCAGAGGCTGAGAGGGGACACTAAAGCACAAGGATGTACATGGCATAGAAACACCCAGAGCTGCAGGGCCACCAACCCTCTCTTCCTCCTGACGGCTCCCAGCTGGGGGTGGAGGTGAGGGCCGCTGACCGGGTGGGGGCCTGCACTCAGCTCCATGTACGATTTTCCAGCGGGCTGCTGCTCTCCCGGGTGGTTCCCCTCTTCCGTGAGAGCGATCGGTTAGCGCCGCTGTGTTTTTTAAAATCTCCCGTCTTCACTCTGGGGCCAGGCCAGGTGGGGGAGGGAGCCACCGCATCCTTGGCTCAGGGCCCGGGTCGTGTCCCCTGTCTGTGCCCATCTCTATTAAAGGACTCCCTCGTGGTGGGCCTGGCGAGTTCCTCCTTTGCAATCCGCCCACACTTGGACCTGGGAGGGGCAGCTGTTCCCAGCCAAGGCCCAACTATCCCCGCCCCTTGGTGAGTTTCCTTGTCCCTGGAATTTTCCAAATTGGCATCAGCTAGAGAGCTATTTTGTGAATTGTTGCCAGGGCCAGGAGACATATTTGCCACCACGTTACATTCATGGAGGTCTCTGGGGCAAGAATGAAGGCTCTGTGTCCCTGGGAGGACACCCTCCCCCCTTCCAGTTCAAAGAGGCTTAGGGGCCCTGCTGGAAGGGACCAGGGAAGTGTGCCTTCAGAGTTGCCCATTTTGGGACTCAGGTGTGGGTCACCTTGTCCCTTCCAGAAGCCTGTGTTTCCAGCTTTTCTGGCTCAGGAGCAGCAGTGTGCATTCCCTTGCTGTGGGCCTAGTTTATCCACAAGCCCAGCCCAGGGGGGAGGGGAGGGGCGGAGGGATACACAGACTTGGAATAGAGTCAGCTTGGTGAAAGGGTGGACCTGGGGTGGGGTGGGGTGCTGCTGTCTTGAGCAGCGTGGTCTGGCAGGACATGGGCATACCCTCAGCATGTGTTCCCTAGTGGAATGAAGAAATCTGAAGCTGGAGCTAAGCCAAAACCTACAAGCTCCTCAGCAGCCCCTCCCACAGAAGGATGGATAAGGGACAGGGGTGACAGGAATGTGAGCAGCCTGACAGGGACCAAAGCCCTGACATCCCAAAGACTCAGTGTAACGTCATCCTTACAAAGCTCAAAACCAAATAGATTTTTAAATAGGATTTATATATACAAGTTGTATAATTACAGAGAATACACACAATTGCCATAGCCCTTAGCTGTGGTGATGGGATAGGTACATTTTTGGGGCAAGTGAAGATCGTGACTTCTGGCCTTGGAGGATGAGTAGAGGCATAATGAATGGGCTTTCACTGTGTGACATGTCATGATTTAGACAAAAGCCGACATCCAAGAGCAGCTGAATGTGCTCAAGTGCAGTCTCCAGGGTTGATCACATCAGATCACAAAACTGGTTCATTTCCACCTATTTGTAACTTCTCCACTTCACTGTACTGTGGTCAGAGGTTCTTTGGAAGGATCCCCCTTTTCTATTTTTTGAGACCCAAGGGTCAAAGAAAAAAAAATCACAGATACTTTGAGGCAAATGAAAAAAAGGCATTGAAACTTGCTATGCATAGGAGACCTGTCCAGAGGGATACTTAGAGCTATAAATGTTTACATTAAAAAGAAGTGGTTTCCCTAGTAGTGTAACTATACCTCAAAGAACTAGAAAGAAACTAAATCCAAAGTTAGCAAAAGGAAGTCATTAAGATTAGGTCCCACAGAGACTAGGAAAAGGTTAATGAGTCAATGGGAGCAAAAGTTTCTTTGAAAAGCAACAATGAACAAGCCTTAACTTAGATTGACTAAGGGGAAAAGACAACTGAAAATAGGACAATTACTACCTGCCCTACAGATGACTACAGAGAAGAGAACACCACAATTTATATGAGTCCATTCCCCCTCCCTCTTTTACATATCTGTGTTTTTATACACATGCGTTTGTTGTTGCCAACTTTAGGAAGCCAGTTGCAAACACTTCATTCCTAAATACTTCAGTGTACATCTTGGAAAAAAAAATATTCTCTATATAAACACACTTCCATTATCATTTATGGAAAGGGACAGTATTTCCATCACATTATTCAAATATCCCCAACTGTTCAAAATACCACTTAGAACTTCTTTTACCCATTTGGGGCATTCACTCAAGGTTGGCATTTTACATCTGGTCTCTTCAGTCTTTCAGTCTAAAAAAGGCCTTTATTCTTACCATGATTTTTTGACCAGTGCAAGCAAGTCACCTTATGGATTGTCCCATGTCTGACGCCTACTTGTTTCTTCCTGGTGTCATTTTCTCTTGTATCTTTTGTATGTCATGTGCCCTCTGTCACCTTGTCCTCTGTGTTCCCCATGATTTACAGTAGGTTTAGGACTTGATTAAATGTCCTTGCTCAAAGGAGATTATTCTTTTAAAATCTTTTCCCTATGAGACTGAAGCTCCATGAGACAGAGACTAGATCTTTGTGTTCTGATTCATTCCAGTGCTGGCAACATTTGTCAAATAATCTAAGAGCAAGTGAGAACTGTGACAGGAGCAACTGGCCCAGTCCATTGGTATCATCATCTTCCAGTGTACTCAAGTCCTGTTTGTGTCCGCACTCAGCTTGCGGCTGTCCTCTGCTAGGAAGAGGGCCGCAGTCAGCAGGTGTCTAGGGAACATTTGCTGGCTTAGTGTCATCTGTTTTGTAAGGACGGATGGCTGAGCACCCTGTTAGAGAACCCTCAAGCACAATAGCAATGACTGCCAGGATCTGCACATCTCCAACTTCTGTCTTCGGAACAGTGATCCAGCTCTTTAGCTGGACAATGGACTGCCAGGAGAGAGTCCCTTTCCAGCACCTCTGCGGTTCCAAGTGTCTGCCTTCCCTGGGGGGAGACCTGCACTTCTCTTTTCCTTCCTCAGTGGAAGGGGAGAAGCCAAATGTCAAGGGTGGTGGGGCAGAGGGGAGGGGAGAGGGTCTTGGGCCCTGAAAAGTACGGAGCTGTCACACCAGCCTAGACAAGCCAGATGGACTCCGCGCTGTAAGAAAGCGCGTTGTCCACGTGGTTTGAGCTAGGACGGAGCTCTTTTCTGTCTTGAAGCCAAATATGATTCGGACTGAAACCACACAGCACCACAGTCGACTTGCCAAAACAGGTGTCTGTTTTTGATGTTCTCCCAACCCTTCCCATAGAGCCTGAAGGAAGAAGAGAGCCATATTTCCCTCGAGAAGTGGAGCCGGCTGTCACCCCCAATAGTCATGGCCATCTAAGTTTCTTGTAACCTGGACAGGAAATGCTGTGTTTATGTAGTAAATCACACTCATGGAAAAATTGAAACACTAGAGCAGGATTTGACTTCTCACTAGCAGGCCTAGAGACCTGGGCTTGGGTGCTGGGCACTAGGTGTGCAATACAGGTGAGATGCAGGCCAGTGGAGGGAAGGAGTGGCATAGGTCACCTGGAGTCTGGGGTGGCCTCCATCCTGCTCATCTTCAGGGCACTCAAGACTGTATAGATTACCTTATTGCTGCCCATTTGTTGAGCTGGTGTCTCCTAAATTTATGAGTTATGCAGAGACTACCAATAAATTCTCTTATGGCCTAAGTAGCATTGGTTCTGCTGGTTACAACTGAAATGTTTGACTGGTATAGAAATCACATCTTGAAAAAATCTACCCGTGGGCTTCCAGTTCTGACCACGGCCCTCCCTCAACACTGGGCACAGGAACCAACAGCTCGAAGCCCCTGGAGGCCCAAGGACACCAAGCAAGTTTTATGTTTCCACCATGCCAGAACCAGCAAAGCCAGGGCATGTGGGGGGGGGGGGTGGAGGAGGAGGGGAGCAACAGAGAAGAGGCCTTGCCAGCAGGGGACACATTGTGCAGGCAGTGGGGACTGGGGAACAAGGTCCAGAGCAATCTAGAGAGCACAGAGAAGTGCAGGGCTCTGTGGCCAAGGCCCTCAAGTCAGCTGGACCTCAGCTGCACTATGCAATGTGGAGAGGCTCTGAGGCAGGTGACCATGCTTGGGTTAATGTCCAATGTTGCCATCTTGAGATACTCCGTAGCATTTGAATATGGTGCCCCACACTTTCACTTTGCACTAGGCCCTGCAAATTCTATAAAGGGTCCTAGCAGAAAGACAAAAGGCCTAGGAGAGTACAGCTGCTGGGTGCTGGGAGACAAGCCAGGGCCTCAGAGTTGGCACAGGAAGGGGTTGGGGGCAGGTGACAGGGCAGAGGAATGTGGCGTGGTGCTAGGAAATGGCGTCCTGACCTGGGCAGGGAAGAGGGCTCAAACTGCCTGGAAAGGTGATGCACGAGGACCATGTCCAAGCAAGGCCAGGAAAAAGAGTCTCTACCTCCCTCACTGCAATCTATTGAAAGTCAGTCCTTGACACAAAGGTTTGTAAAATAATAATTTTAAAAAGAATCTCTTATGCATTCTTTCAGCAAAAGAATCTCCCCGGCCTGATTGGGATTTGTGCCTGTTCTGATCTGAATGCTGTCATTTTGCCTGCCAGAGCCGACTGTGGCCCTTCCTGGAACTGAAAGGAAGGTCAACCCCACCTGGAATATGTGTCTGAACTCGGATGAGGTTGGGGGAGGGTCACTAAAGGGAACTAGGGTGCTGTTAGCCACAGAATGAGGGGCACTAACCTGGCAGAGGCACAGATGTCCATCTGTGTTTGCTCTGCTCTGACAACATCACTCTGGGATACCTCCTCCAGGAAGACCTCCTGGTCTGTGCTTCCTACACCCCCCTGAGTGTCAGAGCAGGCTGACTCGGAATGGGGGCTTCCTCTGCCTCAGCCCACCAGTCTTGGAATTTTGGAAACTTGGGAACAAACCTTAAATGAGCCTTCTCCTTCCTGTATACATCCTCTTCACCTGGCCATGTTGACCACGGGGCAAAGCTCTGTCAGGGGTATTTCTCTCAGAAACTCTGTGTGTGTCTGTGGGTATGCACGTGTGTATTAGTGAGAGCCAGTGTCCCTGAAGAAGGGTAGAATAGGACTGAGGAGGGAAGGGACCCATAGATAGAGAGTCCACTGAGACCAAGAGAGAGACTTGGGAGTCTCACTAGCCCAAGACTAAGAAAGTGACTTTCACACCAAACTTGGGGTAATGATGCTCCCCTGGCTTGCTGATAGTGCTGATCAGGGTCTGGTAGTGCCTAGGAGCCCAAGGCGGAGACGGTAGGCAGGAATACTTTTGGTTTTGCTTGTGTCTCTGATTTCAAGCCTCAGTGAAAGGAACTGCAGTTAAGAGGGAACTCAGGGTCAACCCCAAGGAAGGAGACTAATGAAATGGTGGGGAGGGAATGACAGCCAGGCCACTTGACTTGCCCACATCCCAATCCCAGCTATGAGAACAGCTGTGGGCCCTAA